CCTTAGACATTCCTTATCAGCCACCATTCCCTCAAAAACGCTAATCTCGAGTCTAAGCTTGTCTGTGAGATTTTGGGAGCTTATTAAGTGGTTTTGGTGCATATTTGTTGAAGAAGGAGGCTAGAGAAAAAGGAGGTGTTGCTTGCAAGCTTGTAGATCCAGAAACTACTCCTCATTGTGCATCTTTTTCAGGTATAAAGTTTATACCTTGACGAGGCTAGATAAGAAGGAGGCTAGAGAAGAAGGAGGTGTTGCTTGCAAGCTTGTAGATCCAGAAACTACTCCTCATTGTGCATCTTTTTCAGGTATAAAGTTTATACCTTGACGAGTTTCCTTTTTGATCTCCAAGGATGAGCTTTATGAGTTTTTTGTCCCAAAGTTTGGACCTTTATGAGTTTAGAGCACTCCAAAGAATATTAGCTGTCCTTTCAGCATTTTAGGTCTTTTATATTCATAAAATGGTTCTTTGATCATTTCCTTTGGCCCATGCATGAGTAAAGTGACTTAGAGTGTGATGGAAGTTAAAGTTTGTTGCATTGGGTTCTTTCTAGTCATGCAAAGGCTTAAATTCGATGACTTTATGGGTTAAGACACCCAAGGATGGTCAGATCTAAAATTGGGATATGTGTCTTAACGGATTAAGACATAAAAGTTGATGAAGTTGGATCAGGTAGAGTACGCTGGGCGTACTCCTGGCTACGCCCCGTGTAGCCAGTCCCGTCCCCGAATGGTCGCTGATCGAGTTGTACGCCCCACGTAAGAGAGAGTATGCCCAGCGTACGCGCTGGGCAGTTGACTTTCGTTGACTTTTGACCTTTGGTCAAGATTTAGGGTTTTGGACCATGGGAAGGGTAAAATAGTCTTTTTCCCCTTAAGGGACTTAAATGTGGGATTTGGACTCGCGATTTGAGTTATGGACCTTAATTATTAATTAGGGTTAGTTATTTTGTTAATTAGGCGGAGTATAGTTTCGACAGTTCGGGTGAAAGATTTATCTTTCATCAGTATCAGGTGAGTTTCCTCACTTATTCTTACTGGTGTGGTAGAATAGTTGTATTTATGATGACCACCTGGGTCCAACTGATATATTACATTATGTTGTGTATGTGTGACTGAGACTGCGGATAGTCTCTAGGGTTGTTGATAAACCCATAGGGCGTGTTGTTGCCCACTGAGACTGCTGACATTCCTCATGGTTGCTGATAACCCATAGTTGTTTATTTTATGCTGTGTTGTAGGTAGTATTTTGGGGAACTAACTAAGCTCCGTGCTAACAATTGTTGATTTATGTGTTTCAGATACTTCTAAGGACCGCGTGAAGGCGAGGGTATGATTGTACACACTCACTGAGAGATGTGTTACTGGCACAGTTTGAGATACTTTGATATTTTGTGATGATGTTTGTTTTAGACACTTATGTTTTTGATGACTTGGTTTGTGAAACTTTATTTTGGTGAATTAAAAATGAAAAAAATTGGTTTAAGATTTGAGGTGTTACATTTTCTCCTAAGGGATATGATGGTAGATTAAGGCGTAAACAAGATATTAAATCTCTCACTAAGCCTGTTTAGAGTCCCTATGTTTTACTCTTTTCTATTATTTTGGATACATGTGACCATAAACTATGTTTGTTAGACACATCCCCTCGATCATGATCTTTCTAGAATGTCAACTACAAAACAAACATCTATCACTTGTATAAAACATTATGTCCAAAACTCTTTAGTTCAACTCTTCAGTGTTTGCGACTTCACTTAAGACATAACACATACTACATAAATACAATAGTTATGTTCAAACTCTTTAAAATACTTAAACATACTCTTACTCTTTAAAACTCACTGAAAAATGTGTTTTCATGCAATAAACACATTATACATATAATACTTCATATAAATAATGCACAAAAGGATACACTTATAAGAACTTATAACTCACAAAATAAGTTTAGGGCATGTATTCTTGAGAGTAACTCATCTTAAGACTTATAATCACTTCACTTAACTTCTAGAGTTTATATGCGCACTTAATAGTCCAATATGGTTAATGATTATACCATTTATCAACAGGTAAATGAATTAAAATCTTCATAAACATGACTTGTAACCCAATAAGGAAGCTATGTAAGCAATTGAAGTCAAATTAGACAAAGTTGGAATTTTGGTCCTTCACCAACAACTTAGTACACACAACTTAGTACACAACCAAGTCAACCATGCCTAGCCTACCACTTGACTGATTCAATCATTAGACATGCTATTACGAACAATTATTTATTCTATGTTGTCCAAACTTACTCCAATCACATCTAAACGCCTTTCAAACAATCTCTAATGGTTACATATGTATACTAACATCTTAATACTTTTTCAAAACCATTAGAACACATACATTACAAAACCATCTATGATTTAAATGTGATGATTTAATGATTTAGAACTCCAAAAAAGTGTTTATAATTTGAACTTCAAAACGAGTTGTAACTCCAAGTTAGATTTATGACATCTCGTGAAGTTTAAACAATATAAATGCTAGAATAAGTCAAAACCAACTGAAAACTCCAATGAATCTCTCAAGTAAATTAAAAACTTCAATTAGATCAACATGTGCACAAAGTTATCTATGATGGATTCACAATTAGAAAGGGGTTTAGAAAGCTTGAAATAAGGTTGAAGCAACTTCCATTTCATAAAAATGAAATTCACCATATGTAGGGTTTGACGCTTCAAAATAACTCTTTAGAATCAAATTAGGCCATATAAAATGGAGATTATTGAATGAATGAGTAAACACTTGAGGATTACATTACTAGAACTCAATCTAAAACCTAAGCTATCATAAGATTTCGAATTCTTAAGAATCTAAAACCCTAGATGACATCAAATGAGAATATTTGCTAGACTTTGCATATTATAATATCTAAAAATTGCCAAAACTATTCACTTTCTACAAAATGGAGAAAATGACAACTTATGATTTGAGTTTAGTCTATTAACCACTTTAACCTCTAACTTTTTTTTTATTTTTACTTTTGACCACAAACTAGACTCCACCAACTTACCAACTACCAAATTTGTTATTTTAAAGCCAAATAACTACTTTTAGAATATTTTGGTTCCTAAACCAAGTGAAGTCAAGGTCAAACCAAGCTTCAAGAAATTGACCCTTTCAGTCTATCTCTCTTAAATTTATATTTTAACACTCTTAATTTCTCAATAAAATTGAAAGTCTTCAATTTCATTAATATTTATTTATTTAATTTATTTTTACCCTTTACTTATTCATTTAATATTTTTTTAATATGCCCTAAAACTAAGATGTTACAATGATTGAGTATCAATAAATTTTCTTAAGGATAATCTAAACATAAATAACACTTAAAATTTAGTTTGAAAAATATTTAAATAGAATTCGTTGACTAGATTTTTGTTAATATCTATTTGAAATTAGATATATTGAAATGTCTAAAAATACCGGTCCAAATGGATATACATAACAAATTGAAATTACATGATGGTAACAATACAATTAGTTTTTGGATAAATACTATGACTTTTCATGTTTTAGTGGCCACTACATCACTAATGGTGCACTAATAGTGCATCATTTCCTACCACTCATTTCAATAACAACATATCAATGACATTGCATGTAAGAGTTTATTAGGTCTAATAATCATATATTAAAGATTATGCATCCAAACTAAAGTTTGTTTGATGTAGGGTTAAATGTTATATATATATATATATATATATATATATATATATATATATATATATATATTCAAAATTGCTCCATTTTAATGGTATCCATACTAAATGGGATATTTAACAATAATACGATGTTATTACGCATTAAATCGAATTATCAGGGTTATAAATTTTATAAAGTATTACGCATTAAATTGAATTATCAGGGTTATAAATTTTATGAAGTATATGTATATTAGCAAAATTCATATGCAAATTTAAAACCCCTTACAAAAAATCTAAAACTCATCAAACAAAACTAAAACTTATATTTTGGAGATTATCATTTCAAGAGTAATTTACATGTTTGAATCATCAAAAATTAATAACATATATATATGATAATAATACAATGCTTGTTATGACTCTAAGCCTACACCCTATGTCCAATACTCTCACAATAACAACACTCTTATACTTTTCAACGTCTTTCTTACTGATTTCCTCTAACATTCATATAAAAGTCAAACATATTACCGTGTATTATTGGTGAAATTTCTCTACCACTGTAAAGTCATTATGACCCGAGGCATCATCAAGGAATGTGTTAAGGATTGAACGATGACATCATCTTCTTTGCAACAATAAGATAATGTTTTTGTATTGGAAGTGCTTGCAACTCTTTTACCTTTATTGGCCATCGACAACATTCTTTGATCCAAAAAGTATAAAAGAAAAGTATATTAATTCGAGTTTGTGTTAAAAACAATAATACTTCCACTGCTATATGGTATACACTACACGTCGGGGGCATGGTAGTCATGTGACACCTCACCACGGTATCCACACCACCCCTTAATAACATGACGATGATCTGACTGTCGATTGGTGTGGCCTCAACTTCAGTTGACCACACAACTTTTTTTTCCTTGCCTCCCTCTCCAATGGTAGAGAGGTGATGTTGAACATGTGTATACCTTCCACCTTATCATAGATATATTTTTGTCAAGATGAATAGTACCTAATGAATATGAATATAAATAGTTATTTTAAAAGATTTTTTTAAATTAATGACTATTTTCTAAAACGTCACATCCTCATGTGTCTATTTCATAAAACGCCACCTTTTTAAATATGACTATTTTTTCTTGTCTTTTTTTTTTCAATAATTACCCCATATTTTCCCGAGTTGATTACACATAGTTATGTAACATGTAGGTTAATTAAGTTATACTCATGGGTCCCTTTAGTTATCTTACAAATGCCATTAACCGGTTTAGCCCTGGAACCGGCTATAAAACCCATATATCACGCCGGATGAAGCGACTATGAGTGAGCAGAGTTGGTAGGGCATCGCATTCGATCTTCTGCCGCTCTCGTGTTTTCAACACACAAAACACGCATTTGAATAAGAAACTAGCCGCTTTCTTCTCTGTCTCCGATCATGTGAAGAATCCTCAAAACCCATTGAAAATCGACTTCAAATCAACTCAAAATGGCATCGTTTGGATTAACTTTGTACTCTTTCGTCTACATTGGTTTGCTGTTTTGTGGGTTTTGTTTAGCTGGTGACCCGTTTGCAAATTTCGAACTCGACTTCTCTTATATTACAGCTTCTCCACTTGGTGTTCCTCAACAGGTGTGTTCCTCTCTTCTCATGTGCTCTGTTTCGTGTTTGTGAGTATGGGTTTTGATTGTTTAGTGATGCTTATGCTTTATGAATGTTATCAAGTGTTCGATGAGATGCCTAAATGATTCCCCTCTTTTGATCATTATACTGGAGAAATTATATCTAAAGTGATTTTTAGATTTTTACTTCCCCTCCCCCAGCTCACACACACAAAAGGGTAAAAACATCCTTTAGGATTTTTGCTATTTTGTTTTTGGTTTCTGTTCACTTTTTTTCCACCCTTTTTCAAATCAATCTTGTTTGGGTGTATTTCGAAAACAGGCAAAGATTGTATCATTTGAAAATTTCAATCGTATAACTTTTTGCCATATTTGTCACTTCTCATTTCGATTTCTTTCTGTATAAAACTCAAATTACAGGTGATTGCAGTGAATGGAAAGTTTCCAGGTCCAACCCTAAATGTTACAACAAATTACAATGTAGTTGTCAATGTCAATAACAGATTGGACGAAAGCCTCCTTGTTACATGGTATCATTTCCCTACCTTCATCCATACAATTACAGTTTCATTTCATTGAATCTAAATTCACAAAACAAATCATATTTAATAGGCCTGGAATAGAAATGAGGAGAACTTCTTGGCAAGATGGAGTTCTTGGCACCAATTGTCCAATTCCTGCAAAATGGAACTGGACTTATCAGTTTCAAGTCAAAGATCAAATCGGAAGCTATTATTATGCTCCATCTATTAATTTTCAAAGAGCTTCAGGTGGATTTGGTGGATTTATCATCACAAACCGAAAAGTTATTTCATTGCCATTCAATACCCCTGATGGAGATATTGTCATTACTATTGGTGATTGGTATACACGAAACCATAAGGTATTTATATTTGCGATTTCACACTTTATTAAGAATCTTGATGCATTTACTTATGTATCTAATATCCTACCTATGGTTAATCTTATTTGAATTAAGGAATTAAGAGCTTCACTTGATGCTGGAAAGGAACTCGGTATGCCAGATGGAGTTCTCATTAATGGCAAAGGACCTTTTCAATATAACTCCTCTGTTCCAGATGGAATTGAACACGAGACACTTAATGTCGATCCAGGTAGATTTTCTTAATTTGTGTTTTTGATATAATCATTATATTCATGATTCTGTAAAATGCATTGCTATTTCTTTCTCTAATGTAAATTATCTGAATGTCATTTTCCATTTACTGCAGGGAAAACTTACCGAATTCGTGTGGTAAATGTTGGAATTTCAACTTGTTTAAATTTCAGAATCCAAAGTCACAATTTAATTTTAGCAGAAACAGAAGGACATTACACATCCCAACAAAACTATTCAAGTTTAGACATCCACGTAGGCCAATCCTATTCCTTTCTCGTTACAATGGACCAGAATGGAACCAGTGATTACTACGTTGTCGCAAGTGCAAGATTTGTAAACCAATCGGAATGGAATCAGGTCACAGGCGTCGCTATTTTGCACTACTCAAATTCCAAATCCCGGGCAGCTGGTACCCTGCCCGACCCGCCCAACGATTCAAACGATAATTCCTTTGCAGTAAATCAAGCCATGTCCATCAGGATGAACGTCACCGCAAGTGGGGCCCGCCCAAACCCGCAAGGGTCGTTTCGATACGGGTCGATAAATGTGACGGATGTGTATGTGTTGAAAAGCGTGCCACCTGTCATGATTAATGGGAAGAAAAGGGCGACATTTAATGGGATTTCGTTTGTGAATCCTGAAACGCCTGTGAGGCTTGCAGATAATTATAAAGTCAAGGGGTCTTATAAACTTGATTTTCCGAATATGCCCTTGGATAGACCTCCTACGATGGATAGATCGCTTATTAATGCTACGTATAAAGCTTTTGTGGAAATCGTATTGGAAAATAATGATACTGTTGTTCAAAGCTTTCATATGGATGGGTATTCGTTTTTTGTTGTCGGGTATATTTCTTTTTTCTTTTTTATTTTTTTAAATAATTGACACGTGGATTTTAATATTTTGTATTTTAATATATTATATGTATATATGTATAGGATGGCATATGGGGAATGGACAGAAAACAGTAGGGGTTCTTATAACAGATGGGATGCAATAGCACGCTCTACAACTCAGGTTTCTTTTTGGCTTTTTTTAATTTTGATGGGAATTTTTTTTTTGTTTGTTTTTTATTTTTTTAAGGAAAAAATGTAAATGAAAAATATTGAATTTTATAGGTTTTTCCGGGAGGGTGGACGGCGATTCTTGTGTATCTTGATAATGTTGGAGCGTGGAATCTTAGGGCAGTCAATCTTGACCGGTGGTATTTGGGTCAAGAAACTTATATGCGAATTATAAACCCTGAAGATGATGGTCAAAAGACTGAAATGCCCCCACCTGGAAATGTCTTGTTTTGTGGTGCTCTTGCTCATTTTCAAAAGTATATATATATATATAACCTTTTAAACAGAGTTTCTTATTTTAGATTTGAGATTAACCAGTGATTTATTAATATCTTTTTTTTTTTTGGATTTCAGACCACAAAGAATATCGACTTCAGATGCTTTGAGGATAGAAGGATTGCTGAAACTGAAATCTAAGATTCTAGTGGTGTTTGTTGTTGTTATTTATATGATGATTTGAGGGTTGTTTCTAAGAGGTGGGATTTAGTTTAATTGTTCAAAAGAGATTGCTTTTGGGGTGAATTAGGGATTTTTTCTTTTT